CGTACTCTCTCTCTCTCTCTCTCTCTCTCTCTCTCTCTCTCTCACACACACACACACACACACAAGTGGTGGAATTTCAACTTACAACTCACTATTTTACTATTTCAGCTGGGGTAGTAAGAGATTGCCCCAGTAGGTCTTTAGTTTATTAAAATAAAAAAATGGGAGTGTTTATTTTGTACTTTTTATCGAAAACGAAATGCAAAAGAAGCCTTGGCTTTGGACTGCCTTGGTTACTGGGCACCCTCCTACGAAGCTACCTCGGAGGTCAAACCTGAATTCTTGAACATTGATCACCACATCATGCATTTCCTGTTTGTTCTTTCGGTTTTATTCCTATATGGCACTTATTTGATTTTTGAGAAGTTTGTCCTCCATTTTCCCGTTTGTTCTTTTTCTTTTTTAATTCAAGACCCAAACATTGTTTTCATTTTAATTTTCCAATACTCATAAAATTCAACTTTGAAAATTGGAATCAATAGTTGAAAAATATTATGATTACTATGGTGGGCTATATGGAATAAAACAGGAAATTGAATAAAGAGATTTAAAATTGAAAAATATTTTTATCACCTCTCCCTTGAATTTTATTTCTAACTTGCTGGATTAAATTTCCACACCAACTTCTTTGGCAACCTATAATCTCCTTTATCTCCTTTTTGGTAACCTGGGCTCTCCAATGCCTATATTTTTGATAACCTGGGCTCTCCAATGCCTATCCTCAACTTGGGCTATCCACGCCAATGCCTATCTTTTTTACAACTTGGCTCTCCACGCCAATGCCTATCTTTCTTTTCTGCTTTTTTCTTTTTTGTTCCCTCACAACCTCGGCTCTGATACCACTGTTGATATTTTAAAAACACGTAGCCAAGTACTCATGGAGAGATAGACACACAACTCAACTTTACTCAAGTTTTTCTCACGCACACATTTCAACCACACGCACAGATTACATAAAACTTACATACACATTGCTTTCACCGGTTGCCTTTTTTTTTTTTTCTCTTTTTTCCATAGCTCAGTGGGGAGGAGATCCCCTTACCTTGACGTTTGTAGGACTCGACCCTGGGAACCGAGCACCGCGATTTCTATCACCCAACACAGTGGCCAGTTTATACCCAGGCTTCTTGCCTCAATGGTAGGACTCGAGCCTAGGATCCAGGCACTGCGAATTTTATCGCCCGACGTGCCAGTCAGTTTATACCCAGGCTTCTTGCCTTTTTCTTCTTTTTCTTTTTCTGTTTTCCATAACTCAATGGAGAGAAGATCCCGTTACCTTGGCGTTTGTAGGACTCAAGCCTGGGAACCGAGCGACCGTGAATTCTATCGCCCGACGAGCTGGCCAATTTATACCCAGGCTTCTTGCTTTTTTTTTCTCTTTTTTTTTTTATATTTTCTGATAGCTTAGTGGGGAAAGATCCCCTTACACTGCCGTTGGTAGGACTCGAGCCTGGGATCCAGGCTTTGCAAATTTCATCGCCCGACGTACCAACCAGTTTATGCCCAGGCTTCTTGCCATTTTTTTTTTCCTCTTACCCCACTAAGCTATCGAGAAAAAAAAAAAAGAGAGAGAGAAGAAAATGGCAAGAAGCATGGATATAAACTGGCCGACATGTCAGGCGATGAAATTCGCGGTGCCTGAATCTCAGGCTCGAGTCCTACCAACATCAGTGAAAGGGGATCTTTCCCCACTAAGCTATTGGAAAAAAAAAAGAAAAGAAAGGGCAAGAAGCCTGGGTATATAAACTAGCCAGCACGTCGTGCAATAGAATTCCCGATGCTTGGTTCCAGGCTAGAGTCCTACAAACGCCAAGGTAAAGGGATCTCTTCCCCACTGAGCTTTGGAAAAAAGAAAAAGAAAAAAAAAAGACAAGAAGCCTGGGTATAAACTGGCCGGCACATCGGGCGATAAAATTCGCAGTGCCTGGATCCTAGACTCAAGTCCTACCATTGAGGCAAGAAGCATGCGTATAAACTGGCCACCGCGTCGAGCGATAGAAATCGTGGTGCTCGGTTCCCAGGTTCGAGTTCAACAAACGCCAGGGTAAGGGGATCTCCTCCCCACTGAGCTATGAAAAAAAGAGAAAAGAAAAAAAAGGCAACCTGTGAAAGCAATGTGTATGTAAGTTTTATGTAACCTATGCGTGTGGTTGAAATGTGTGCGTGAAAAAACTTGCGTAAAGTTGAGTTATGTGTTTATCTCTCCATGAGTACTTGACTAAGTGTTTTTTAAAATATCAACAGTGATATCAGAGCCGAGGTTGCGAGAACAAAAAAAAAGAAGAAGAAGAAGAAAAGAAAGAAAGAAAAGCATTGGAGCGGAGAGCCAAGTTGTAAAAAAAAAAGGAAAGATAGGCATTGGCATGGAGAGCCAAGTTGTGAAGAAAAAAAAAAAGACAGGCATGGGCGTGGATAGCCTAAGTTGAGGATAGGCGTTGGAGAGCCCAGGTTACCAAAAATATAAGCATGGGAGAGCCCAAGTTGCCAAAAAGGAGATAAAGGAGATCATAGGTTGCCAAATAAGTTGGTGTGGAAATTTAATCCAACAAGTCAGAAACTAAATTCAAGGGAAAGGTGATAAAAAATTTAAATCTCTTTATTCAATTTCCTATTTTATTCCATATGGCACAGCATAGTAGTCAAAATATTTTTCAACTATTGATTCCAATTTTCAAAGTTGAATTTTATGAGTATTGAAAAATTAAAATGAAAACAGTGTTTGGGTCTTGATTGAAAAAAGAAAAAGGGTGATTAAAAAAATAAAAAAAACAAAAAAAAAATTTATTTTGATTAAAATGTTAGGTGGTTTGCAATGAAAAACAAAAGAGGAAAGAAAAAAAAAATTCTTAAATGTGAAGTTCTTGGAAAAAGAAGACGTAAATTTTTAAAAAAATTTCTTAAATGTGAGTAATGGATTCTCTTGAAAAAGGAATAGGTTAGTGCCACATATTGCAGTGTGCTTTTATTTTCTCATGAAGTCCAATATGTTTTTGCTCTAATGTGAAAACATTTTGGAAAAACCCAATTGGTTCATACTCTTAAATCATTACATACTTGAACTTTCATGGGTTAATTTATTTTGGGTTTTCTAATGATAATTTTCGGTTGTGATTTCACGATTCTTTTTTAATGCTATTTTGTTTTGCCCTATTCAGCACACCATGAGCTTAGTTCTATATCTCTGTTAGCTCAATGTGCTATTTATGGTAGGGTATGTATTTCATAAATAGGAGGAGAGAGCATTGAAAATGCATATAATTACTTTCTTCTAGATTTGGCCACATTTTTTTTATTATAACAAGAAATTTCAAATTTCCAACTAGACAGAATAGTAATTCAAGTTCGGACAATCAAATAGATCATAGAATCAGAAAAATATGAAATTGCTGTTCAAATCAGAGCAATTGAACACTCCAGCTTCAAAAACCACAATTGATCATACTGCAATTTTGGTCCACTATAATTTGAAACTTGAAAACAAAACATGAAATTAACGATCAAACAGTGCCCAAGTTGTAACTAGTGAGAAAGCCTAAACAAGTGTCAAACCATCGCATTGCACTGTATATATATTAGTTCCAATGTAAACTAGAAAATACTAAATAAGTTAATGAAAAGTTCTAACAAATCCTCAAAGTAAAGAAGCAAAAGGTTGCAGTCTTCACCATGAAAATAAGAAATATAATATCATTTGCAAAAGAGTTTTTTTCTTTTTGTTGGGGAGGGGGGGTTGGGTTTAAATGCGGAAGAGACTTATATTATATGAAGTATATTCCATACAGCCCCACATTAGATAATTTGCAAGAGCATCAAAGGTTCACACAATTGGAGAGTTTCAATATTTTCAATTAAATACATGTATGAAAGGCAAAAAACATTACTTGTAAGTGGCACTACAATAGGTTATGAATCCAATATATTGAAGTATTAAAATGTAAATATAAACGCATCGACAGTAGGGTAACTAAGTAAGCTACTTTTGGCTTTCAATCTTCTAAGCATTTAAAGCACTAAATGGCACAACATTGAAGTATCACATACACATTTTGATTCCATCAAAAAACAAAATAGAAGCACCAGAAGGTATGAAACATTCTCTTCACAACCAAAAAGTAAATTCTTGAAAGTTGCACAAGGATGTGAATACTTACAACCTTCACACTTCCAAACAAAGTTCACCTCCCATTCAAGGGGCCAATCAAAGTTTAGATAGCAGCACTGCTAGCTGCTCGTCTGATATGTTTATCTCTTTGAAAGCTCCCACAGCTTCCGCAAGCTTCGCAGCTAATTGATGCTTGCACTGCAAATATAATTATTTCAATAAGCCTAATGAAGGAATAATTTGGCAACAGTAGTTTATAAAGCTCGAAGAAGCAAGAGGAGGAGTACAAGGAGAAGAAACCGTTCAGAAAAGAATGAGAAGAAGGAATAGAAATAGGGAGCAGAGAAGGAGAACTAGAAGAAAGCATACACAAAGTTGTTCTCCCCTATTGACAGTGTCAAAGAAGAACGAGTAGCACGTGCAGAGGTGATCTGGAAAGCATATGTATTCTTCCCCTCTTTTAGACTCTCCAACCACCTAGATACCAATTGCACTTAAACGAGATTACCTAACTTAAAAATACAAAAAAAGGACGGCTACATATCCATCCATGTCAAAAGAGTGATCCCACACAGAAGATTTCCTTACTCAAGCTTGTGGCTTCCATCTCAAATACAGTAGTTTTTCTAATTAAGAATTTGATAAAGGAAGCAATTATAAGAACAACTTATGTCATTATTTATTACCAAATGATCATGTGTTATTTGCTATCAGCATAGTTCTAATATTCACAGAGCAGGTAAAATAATCAGAACCAATTAGAAGGATGCCTTCGTGACTTCACTCAATTTCATATCTCAATATTGTGCTTCCCTTCATATATAAACAATACCATACTACTTATAAAACAAGAAAATACTGAACTACAATTTCAATAAAAAAATTTTCTTAATGTCAACCACTTTTCATTCATTCAGAATGCTCCTTGGATTGTATTTCTCATTTACAAACAGGAATCTCTTCACAAAAACTTCAGAATCAAAACAATTTATGCACAAATTCACACTTCCTAAAGTCCATATAGAGCAGACCCCTCAGTCTCACTATGTATCTCCATTGACAAAATTGGTTACTGAAATAACAGAGTTGGACTCTCCTGATTCAGCTCCGAAGTCCACCAGCACGTTGGACTCCTCCAAATGTGTTGAATCTCTATATTTCTATTATGCAATAAATGAAACCTTCTTAGAATAAATTTAGTAGTCAAAAGGCCATTTTTCTTTCCATTAGCCCATATCCCCTTCACTGAGCTAAAGACCAATTAAGAGGGGCCAGGCTTCGGCCTCGGTTGAGTTGCAAAGGTGCAACAGCACAGAGTAAGTCATTAGGATTCTACCTTGACCATCTCTCACTACTCCAATGCTGGCATCTCCCAAATTACCTTTCGAGGCCGTCCAAAATTTTACTTGACCAATCCAGCAGGCAGCAGCAGCCGCCTATTAGAGTTCCCATCTCTCTTGCTTTTGCCATTTGCAATTCCAGCCATCTATTCTCCAAATAATTATTTTTTATATCCCCAAATGTAAGCTCCTTCTCCCTTGCTGCGACCACCACTTTAAATTATGAAGTGCGTTCTTCCGCTTGGGGAGATGCTAAATTATGACTGTGGCTTTAAATTGTTCTCTTCTTTTCTCATCTTGCTTACGATCATTGAAGCACCTACCATTGCGCTCGATACACATCATTTATAAAACTGCAAAGTCAGCCTCCAAAAAATAGTGCCCACTTTAGGTAAAGGTATAAACTACGGCTGCAATACGGCTTAGACTGAGGTCGGAGTAACAGCCCCAAGAAAACTAGTACAATTGCCCATATAGAACTCACTGCTGAGCAATGTAAAAATAAATGATTTACTGATTCAACTCCCTGTTTGTATATCAAACAAACATCGCAACTAATCATACTTCTCCTCCTGTGATGGTCAATCATTAACACCTTATTAATCATTGCTAAGCATGCGAGGCACCGTGTTTGGATGGGGACGGGACACACCATACCTTGCTGGCTGCAACATTTGGTTCACGTAGGCCTGCAAACGGGCCAGGCTGGACCAGGTCAGCCCGTTTTTTTTGCAGGGCCCAAGCCTGAACTAATGCACAATTTGTTGCCTCAGCCTGGCCAAGTGATCATTGAGGCCCAATCCTGTGGAGTCCGAAAATTGAAGTCGCCCGAGCAAGGCTCAGCCTATTTTTGGTTGTATAAATGGAGCTATATATAAATGTACATATTATATATGTGTGTGTATGCATAAACTTATATATTTATATCGTCAGGCACGACTCAGGCCAGGCAAAGGCTGGCCCAGGCCCGGCCCACGGTAAGTGTGCCCCAAACCAGCCCAAAGCCAGGTTTTGCACGGTTGGCAGCCCCAGACATCAAGTAAGAATTTGTATCACAGAAAAATCCCCCTTGCTACCTGGCACCAAAGAAGTGAAGCCTCCTTCATAGGGTTAAACAATAACTGTGGCAACTCTGCTAGCAAACACAACATCAGTTCCACTTCATCCTCCTTTATTGCCGGCCCGAGGAATGGACTTCATGGGGACTGATACCCAAACCCTTCCACCATCAGCACTTTCACATTGCAATCTGAGCAATCACAATAAGGATTAGGTACACCTCCTAGATAGGTTTTACCAAGCCAGGATCCAAGCAAAATCAAGGGCTCCTACCACCCCTTACCTGAATTCTAATATTTTGCGGAACATCTTGCACAGCAATGATTTTATCCATGCACCTGATAGTCTGCCCCTGTTACTCATCAGTTTCATGAACCATTCCTCATCACCTTCACCATGTTTGCTCAATGGGTTATTTGGGTACCATCCTCCACCACCATCTAGCTGGTAATGCCTTGTTTGTTCAGTTACTCTATCAATGCGCAAGTGCCCTTTGCCCTTGAAAAAAAAAATTTGATGTAACAGTTCCTGTGGGGTGGATCATTAGATGAGAAATATGAGCCTTGTTACCTTAAAACCAAGGGCAAAGGGGAGATGCAATAAATGGGCCAGTTCACCTTCACCATGTTTGCTCAATGGGTTATTTGGGTACCATCCTCCACCACCATTTAGCTGGTAATGCCTTGTTTGTTCAGTTACTCTTATCAATGCACAAGTGCCCTTTGCCCCTGAAAAAAAAAATTTGATGTAAAAGTTCCTGTGGGGTGGATCATTAGATGAGAAATAAGAGCCTTGTTAGCTTAAAAACAAGGGCAAAGGGGACATGCAATAAATGGGCCAGTTCATTAATGTTTACTTTATAAGTGTTATTCTCCCCAGGGACAGCTATTTTGTCCTCCAAGAGCCAAGTTCTTTTCAAATCTTGTAATAACTCTATCCCTACTTGCTTTGGCTAGTTTTCTGCAAGACACAAGGCAGATGAAGATATTTATTCGACAATTTATTAGTACCACATCCAACACAGCTTGCTAGCTCTTTTAATTGACTATCTGATAATGAAATCCACATCAAGTTCTACAATTCAGAAAAAACCCACATCAATTTCATTTTAGACATATTGACCCTTACACCTGAATCAACCCCAAATAACCACAAGTTCTTCATTTGTTATTGTGATGCATGACAAAAAAGAAGTGCATCATCCCCATGCTGCAAATGGCAAACAAGCAGTCCATTCACACAAGTTTTAAAGCCAGACAGCCTACCAAGAGCATAGACTCCATCATTGCCACTAAAAGTCTCAGCTACAATTGTGAAAAGAATGGGGCTAGGAAATCTCCCTACTTCATTCCTATTGAAATTCAAAAGTATCATTTGGGCGAGCCATTGGTTAAGACCAAGAAGTGCGCATTGATAGGCTACATGCGGTCCAAAATTACCTTCTTTCCTGAACCTCAGGAGATGCATGGTATTCTTACGGTACGCACAGTCTTCAATATCCTATGCTTCTCTAAATTCAATGTGCAAATCAACCCCGACACTTTGGCCCTCTGTCTTGAATGCAAACGAATGAACCATTAGTGCTCCATCAAGAATTTGTCTGCATGTGGAGGTGATATTACTTCCAGGACAACCTCTTGCAACCTACTTGCAAGAACCTTGGACACTTCTTCTTGGGCACTGCATAACAAACTGATTGATCTCAGAACCACAATATCTTCCACACAATCTTATTTTGGGATTAGGGCAATGAATGGTGAAGCCATTGCCACATAGATATTCCCTGTCAAAGAATTCCAGAAATATGATCAAAACAATAGGTTTACAGCCGATCCCAGAAATTCCCAAGAAAAAAGTGAAACGAAAACAATCCCGCCCCAGGCTTGATCATTGAACAAGCTAAGCACACCCTTTGCAACTTTTTCCTCCTTTAATGTCCTTTCAATCCATTTTATGCTTTGCCGTGAGAACTTTTTGAATGGGTTCCATCTATTGAGATGTGGGGCTTGCTTCAGCTCTGAAGGAGTTCTGAAAGTAATTCACTATCCCTCTCAATCCCCCTGATCATATTTGATGTCCACCTGTGGTGTCAACGGCGTGAAAGGATTTTGTATTGTATCACCTTTTGTATGGCATTTATTCCTTATCCTCTGTCACCAATAAATCTCCCCTAACCACATACAGTCCACTATAGAAACTCTGCGTTGGGTTCTACATTCATGCTAAGGAATCTTTCTTCCTCCTGATTATCTATCTTTGATATCTCAAACATCTAGTCCTCAACCTTGGTCTGAATACTTCTAAAGCTCTCCCTATTCCATTGCCTCATATATGTCTTGAGTAATCACAGTTTCTTACAAAGTCTACATCCAGCTGAACTCTATACCTCAAATGACATCCAACTCCCTGATTACTATGGGCAATGACTTCTTTTCCATTCATACAAGCTCAACCCGATAGGGAGATGGACCACTTCTTCCCAAGATTGTGTCCAACATAAAAGACCTATGATCAGACATCAGCTTTGATAGCACAAATGAATTCCATTCAAGGAAAATCGACTCAGACCAAAAGGTGATCCAATTAGTAAAAATAGGGTTACCTTTGCTATGCTAGGATCACATATATTTGGCTCCCAACAGGGGTATCTCTATCAACTAATGCAGTCGCCAAATCCTTCCATACTCATATTTCTCCAACTATCTTTCTATTTCTCATGTATGTACCTGGATACATTGAAGTTCCCCCAGCACAGCATAGGAGGTTATGATCCAAAGAAACCTTATATAGTTCTTCCCAAAATAACTTTCTAAGCATAGGGCTGTTGGGACCATACACAAAGGAAAACAACGAACTTTACTTCTTCAGTATGGGCCTTCAACTACAAATGCTTCTTCATTATGGACCACCTTGTGACATGGCAGCTGACTTTTCTTAGGCATAGGAGATCCCCTACCACCAAGATCAAATTGATGCCCCATTGGCAGATCTCAAGTTTTAGCCTTCTCATATATATATATATATATATATATATATATATATATATACTACTACTACCCTCGTTACTTTCGTTTACCGTTACCCCTAACCTAACCGTTAGTCGTACGAGGTAACGTACTTACT